TATATATATATATATATATATATATATATATATATATACTTTATTTATATTTCTCCAAGTATTGCATTAAGGCAGGATAATGTAAATATGACATCAAAACCATTTCAGATTTGTGTGGTAATACTAAAATTTCCTTCAGTTTAATATCACGTTACTTTTTTGTAACACGTAATTTTTTTATTTATTTTTTATGAATAATGGAACACATTTGAGGATGAAATTGCCTACCTCTGAGAAATGATACATTGCTGTCAATCATTCTGAGAGACTTTTGGATATGTGCCAGTGAAATATTGATGCGTTTCGATTGACCCATATATATAATAACGTCAGTTGAGATAAATTGTATGTCATTTCTCCCTCACTGTTCAGAATGCAAAGTACATTTTGTAATGTCAGAAATTGAATGTGTATGAATTAAGGGTTTATTTTGTTTTGTTTTTCCAGACTTTTGGTTAACCTTAGCTTTCCAGCATTGGCAGCATTTTTTTTTACTCGCTTTGCGGTTTAGTGCGGCTGTGTCTGTGTTTGTACAATTTATTTCTGTTTTTCCACTGATATCTCTCAAGAACCAATTATCAGATTTACATGAAACATAGATACTTTGGGATAATACTCAGACCTGTTTAGTATTTGGTTGTAATCTGTGCATATTGATTACTTAATTTGCATATTAATTAGCCTATTGTAAGCATTTCACTTGTTTGGCATGTACTATTCAAAAGATTTCAATGAAACTTAGCACATAGAGGCTCTGGAATAATACTCAGATGTGATTAGTTTTGTTTTTGTCCGGAATATATAAATTTTGTGTTTCTTAATTACCACTATGATTTTATTGAATATTCATAATTGTTAAACCATAGCTATTTGGAACCACCCTGATCACTGCTTGCAGTTAGATTTTTTGTTGCAGTATTTTCTCTATTAGAAGCACACGTGTTTGCTGTAAATATAAATGACAAGTCTATTGTCAAACCATTTTTTTACTTTACATGTGTGTTGAAGATGTGTTTCTAATATATAGTGAATACATTATTTCTTATTTGTACTTCATGCCCCCCAATATGCACACAAGAGTTCTTTCTGAGTTTTCCTTGATTTTTGTGTGAAAATACAAAATAGTTATTAAAATATAGTTTGGTTTAAAGTGTTCCAATGTGAAGAAAAAATATACAAGCCACTAGGGAGGTTGGTGATCCTTTCATGTTTTCATATTTTCAACCGTTGACATGGTAGGACCTGTCAATATGAACAAAATTGGTCACGCCAAACTAATCACAGAAGAGTTAAAAGGCCATTACTGGTAAAAAGTTACCCCAACATAGAGGTCAAATTTATTGGTAATGAAAAAAGACATCAAAAAAACAAATAGTAACTTTGTGCCCACACTCAAGTAGAATGAATTATGTTCAAGGTGTTTAATCCTAAATTTGTAGGAGGAGATACATTTGGTGCGTAGCTATTAAAAAATCAGTTTTTTGGCTGTTGCCATGACAACTAAAATATATTTGTAGGAGGAAATACATTTGGCGCGAAGCTATTCAAAAAATCAGTTTTTTGGCTGTTGCCATGGCAACTAAAATATATTTGTAGGAGGAGATATATTTGGTGCGAAGCTATTCAAAAATCAGTTTTTTGGCTGTTGTTATGGCAATGGTGGGCCAAAATTTTTTACCAGATTTTACCTACTATAAACTGGAGTGAAGGTGTGACCTGCCTGCCAAGTTTGTGCAAAATCACCAAAATTTCCCAGGAGAATTAATCCTTGAAGACATTGGAAATCCTAGCGGAACGGATCGCCAATAATTCTCACTCACATACACCTATACAGAGTTTGTTGACCCCAAATAGTGAGGGCAGTATTCAAAGTGCATGGTTTACCAGTATTTTACATTGTGTTGTTTTGTTATGCAGTTGTTTATTATTAATTTATATTTTTTGTGAATATCATTTAAATAAATTGCAGCCCACCCTCTTCCAAATCCTCTGTTCACACAGTTTGATATTCTGAAAATGAAAATTTATTTTAATGTTGATGGAAAAAATCATAATTATATGAGTTCAATCTTGAAAGTTTCTCAGTATGTATTGGTATTTCTCAGTATCAACATGCACATTATTTTAAACTGGTTTTTGACCTTTCATGACCATAATTTTAATAATTCCCTAGTTCCACCAATGAGATCAAGAGCAGCTGGTTATTGCCCTCCATAGCAACAATTAAATGCGGATAATGTTCTTATGCTTTATGCTTTTAAAAAGTGTGATAATCTTGGAATCTCATTATGACAACTTTATCTACTGCCGACCTGACTGAATTCACAAAATAAAATGTTACTTTTAATTGTCAAGAGCAACTGACAGCTGTTGATACAAGCAGTACTTTATTAGAAATCTACAGCGACATTGTGGTTAGTTTATTAACCCTTCGACACCATGATTTTACTAGCCAACATTTTGGTAATTTTTTTTTTGTAATTTGTATTCACACTATCAATGTTAATTTGGGACAATATAGGCATAATTGTCTTATTACTACCGGTACATACCTTAAGTCAAATTCTTGAAAATTATGTGAATTTATATTATGAAGGATGACAAGAGTTAACTTTTGCGTTCATAATGGTTAAGGTGATTGGACTCGTAATGAAATGAAGAATTTGAAAATGATGTATATAATTCATTTTAGTCATTTCTGAAGAACAAAGGAATTATTTCCCACCTTAGAAAATCAAAATATTGATGTCATCATTATGTGCATTTCCTGTAAACTTATCGACATCACTTTTAGTTTTTTGACAACAGGAAGTTTTTCACCATGGGAGTACCGCCATTTGATATTAATAAATTTATGTTATATATATTATTAATTATTGCCTTATTGCAAGGCATACTTTATTCAAAACAATTTTTTTTAAAAAAAACACAAAAACAATTTTGTTGTGATACAATATTTAATTGTTATATTTCAAGTTAGCTGGGTTTATTTTGTTGTACTGGATGTCAATTTCAAATCGTATTAAATTTATCGTTCTGAGGGGGTACTAGTAAGTGAATGAGGTATATTAGTCAGTATCAAATCGCTTTACTTCTTCGTTCAAGTATAACGACCAAACTTATGATTTGAACCTTAATGCACTGATTCACCATTTTCGTCTATTTTATTTGACTGTTATCAAATTTTCTCTTCCAGAATGCTGGCAATAACCATGGTGATGGTTGTTGTCGTATTTACTATTTGATGGAAATTACACCCAAATATGATAGTGATACAGACTGTTGACTGGCAGTTTTTTTTTTCAAGGGGACATGATACACTTATTAATATGGAAGCTCTGCTATGTTTTGATTGCATTCCTGTCAGATTTAAGATTAATGACATGACCTTAATTAGCATACAAGGACACAGTTTTTCACATATAATACAGTGTAATTAGTGAAACACACATTACTAAAATCATAAATTTCTCCCCCGTCGAGCATAATAAATCTGAGAGTACTTTAGTCAAAATATTAATAAAATCTCAACACATTTGTCTCTGGTGATGTGAGTTGTTTATTCTTGTGTAATTAATATTGCAGCTAAAGTGTTGCTTTCATTTCCCTCGTAATCTCCCGTATGTAGTTGTCTTCCTCCTTTCACGCTTTACTTTTATGTGTAATATACTAGTATTTAATATTGAGCGAGTGATAGTTGTTGAGTTATTTTGTTGTTGAGTTATCCCTTAGCTTTATAAGGTTGTCTAGCATTTGTCACGTGTATGGCTGCATTGAAGGGTCATCCTGGCGCAGTTGATACCTTTCATTTATATACATGTAATTGCATGCAATGTTCGTACATTGAGTGGTGTTTTATAAGATAACTGTGTTAAGACACACAAGTTGATAAACCAACACTCCCCACCCCACCGCCCCCCCCCCCCTGGTATGATGTGCACAACATTAATGATGATCAACACTCAGAGCATATTTTTGTTAATTTAATTCCTCATATATCACTTCTCTTTGATACTAATATAACACCACTATATAATGGTTTTTATTTTGATTTTCTGTCTCTTACTGGGGTGATGATTTCCAGCGTCAGGATGTGCATCATTACTTCTTTATCTCAGTCCTCTCCATGTTCTTTGTGAACTTTGACCCCAATACTGACACCATGTCAAGTGTCACCCAATGTCTTAAAGTTATTTTGTCGTACAATACATGCCATACAGTACAACTGAAGTGTCATCAAGACTGATTTGTCAAAAATGCAGTATGGATAAATGTAGTCTTCATGATATGCAGTTTGAGATCTGCTCATCAAGACATGATTCATTGATTCATCATAAACAAGATTCTCACTGTAAAATAATCTCATTTCAAAAATCATTGCGCATTTGAATAAATTATTGTACCACTCTATACACAAGCCTCACTGGCGCAAAAAAAATAATATCAAAAAATATGGATTGTTAAAATACTCCTTCGTAGATTGTCAACCAGTCTCATTCTCAACAGCTTTGAGAACCCGTATACCCTTGCTAAAGTGGCTTAGATTGTCAATTATTGAATTATTTTACCTCACTATCAAAAATGTTCACTGTTTTCAGAAACAAACTGGTAAACATTGACATACGCAAGATATGTCAAGTGATGATTTCCTTTTCCTAAATGATCATTTTGCTCCATTCATCTATTCTGCATCAAACTTGTATTGGTTCATTGTCTCTTTATATATAATCTATATTATCTTCTTAAATATTTTCTGTATTTCATTCTTTTTTGTTTATATATATATATTGCATGGCAGCACAGGTTTAATCAACCAGTATGTGTGTTCAGTGCCACAGTAAAGGCCACAAAGTTTGGACTTACGAGCTGTACTTGGCTGGTAGATTGCTGGGGTTGGGTGAGCTGTTTTCTATGCAAGTGAATGGCCTGTAATACATGTAGATCTACTACTGTGGAACTTGTCTAAAATCAAATCTTGTTGAAATCAAACCCTGTGTAAAACCAGAAACATGTCTGAACTGAACCACTTTCGAGTTACTTTTAATAGAAGTAATCGTATAAAAAAACCTTCTAGAATAATTTTGTCAGTTAGTGTTTGGTTTGAACTGTGTTTGAATGTATTTTCTCTTCACCATTGCAACATCAATTTCGTTTTTTTAGAACTTTGATATTAAAAATTATCCAAAGCTACTTGTGTTTAAATAGCTGTCCCGTCATGTTCAAATCTTCTGTTTTTAAAAGAAAAAGGAAAAAAACACAGAAAACTGTAATGGTAGTCGTAATAATTTATCAACTTGTTTTTCTATACCTGAACGATGTCCTCCATAGTAACGAACTGTTCCATATTACTTCAACAGGAGTACATCAAGTATGCGCACACAAAATGGTACAAGAGCTAATAGAGAAGGAACTGAATGAGTATCCATATGGTTGAAATGCACATATGCTGTGAAGTAGACTCTATTGTCAGTATGGTTATGGAAACAAAGGAAATGACAAGATGGCATGCAAAATATGGAATGGTACCAACATGATGGATCTGATCCCCGGCAATGATTGAGCGAAGAAAACATGGCATTTATAAATTTGTGGTCGGGGGAAATTTACAATCGACCGAAATGGCTAATGTATTGATGGAGACTTTTAAGCTAGCAAAATGTGTTGGATTGTCTTGGATGCATCACGTATGCTCTGTGTTCATTGGATAAGGATGTTATCACTCATGCTTGTTTACATTGACAACATGAGGTTTTGAAATCATAGCAAATATAGTTGTAATATAAGGCAAAATCAAAGATAAAACACTCTCTAGTAACCTCATATTTGATGCATCCATTGTGCCCGTCCATCTGCTATCATGTGCTAAACTTTTATTATAAACCTGTCTCAACTTTTCAACTTTGCAATCATGTCTTTTATAAATTGAACAAAAAAAAACATAGAAGGATCACATAATTTCAACGCTGAAACTTGTTGATTGTTCAGCTGGACTGAAATAGACATACAACAATACAAATAATGATAGTAATTATGAGCTAGACCCAGAATCAAAATAAGTCTGACACCATGCCTATTTATCATGAGTAAGTTAAATCAAGTATGGCACTCTCTAGATGCAACTACTTAAACTCAGATCTCCTGCCAAGCATTTTTTTTAACACACCATCTGTGGATCTTTTCAAACATGTACTGTACTAAGATGGCAAATTGCAAGCATCTGTATGAGTTGTAACTTCAATTTTGAAATGAAAGAAGGAGAGTTCAATAATTTAAACACTGTGTGGGTGTATACTGTGCTGAAGAAAACATACACGTTACTGTAAGCAGTGTACAGCAGTGAAGTCCGAGATTATAACTACATTTTGATAAAAACTCTGATCTTCACAGAGTGATTGCTGATTGAAATAGTTACGCGAAGTAACGATCCACTTATAGTTCTGTGCTGTCAGTTCAGAAGATAATGACATACTTTTGGAGTCCTCATAGTCAACACATCAAGTCTGCCAAACTGTCTTTCATTGTGAATTACCATGCTATTGGTTATACATCATTGTGTAATGTAAAGAAATCAGTTATGCACCAACTATTCTTAGAACACTCAACTGCTTTTAAATGTATTTCAAGTTGGATTGAAATCCCATCCGTCTCTCACTTCTACTTATAGCGGTGACAATTCAATATTCTTCAATTCACCTTATCCTTCCATTTGATATGCGTACATGGACTTAACGGTATTCATCCACCGTAAATTGGTATGGCATAATATGATCCAGTGGTGGCTACATCTTTCATCTTCAGGGTTCAGTTTTGAAGAGTGAAGCTGCAACATTGTTACCAAAAGGTGAGTGGCGTACTTGTAGCCTATGTGAAACTGGTTTGCATATCATTTACAGGATGGGTGGTCAAATAACACTTTAAATTCATATGAATGATCTTTGTATCTCTATTTATGGTCAGCATTTTCTTCATGATTCTAGAGTGTGTGTGGACTGAAGCATACTTGATTACCTTACTTTGAAGCAGATATTATCACTTCATTAACCAGTGATGCCCCGAGTTTAGATAAGATGAATACATAAGTTATTCACTTTATTAACCAGTTATGCTCTAACTTTAAATTTAATACATACAGTAAAATTATTCACTATATTAACCTGTTATGCCCAGAGTCTAGATCAGACTAATACATACAATAAAACTATTCACTTTATTAACCATTGATGTCCTAACTAGATCAGATAATTGCATACCGTAAACATGTTCACTTTATTGACCAGTGATGTCCTAAGTTTTGATCAGACTAATACATAAGTGATTGCTATGCCCCTAGTTTAGATAAGATGAATACATAAGTTATTCACTTTATTAACCAGTTATGCTTTAACTTTAAATTTAATACATACAGTAAAATATTCATTTTATTAACCAGTTATGCCCTAAGTCTAGATCAGACTATACATACAGTAAAATTTATAAACCAGTGATGCTCTGACTTTAAATTTAATACATACAGTAAAATTATTCACTTTATTAACCATTGATGTCCTGACTAGATCAGATAATTGCATACAGTAAACATGTTCACTTTATTGACCAGTGATGTCCTAAGTTTTGATCAGACTAATACATACAGTAAAATATTCCCTTTATTAACCAGTTGTGCCCTGAGTCTAGATCAGACTAATATATACAGTAAAATTTATTACCAGTTATGCTCTGACTTTAAATTTAATACATACAGTAAAACTATTCACTTTATTAACCAGTGATGCCCCGAGTCTAGATCAGACTAATACATACAGTAAAATTATTCACTTTATTAACCAGTGATGCTCTGACGTTAAATTTAATACATACAGTAAAATTATGCACTTTATTAACCAGTGATGCCCTGGCAGTGATGTATTGGCTAATATTAAATCATTAAAAATTACTTATTTTGACCATAGAAAAATTTCAACAGCTTGGCCACTGTTCTAAATAAATCCACCTATGTAAACCTTACTAGAAACGATTACAGAGAAGCTCCTGCACTTTCTGCAATTAAGTGATGCATCAGTAATTTGATAAATTAATATCATAAGCAGTTCACTGAAATTCTATACTTGGCTGATGTATATATGATGAAACTTGTCTGAAGCTCATAGAAGAGTCTCGCGAGAAACTTGCATAGCAATCAATTGACCAATAGAATGTATAATGTGTTATTTTTATTCTGTATTGTACTATACTAGTCTCAGCCAGCCAAGCATACTAACAATGCCATTAAATCATCTGAATGTATGAAAGAGCATATTTTTTTTTTCACTTTATTATTTCCTAATATTTAATCCGTTTCAACTGCCACACTAGTTTAATGTACCGTATTGTCAAGTTCATCTAAATTGACGTGGCAGTTGATAAGCTAAGAATGTATGAAATGGCCAGTCTAAGAACGCCCCCATTATATTAAAGTAATTTATATTCAAAGCTCTATTGATTTCATATGCTCTGCGATTCAAGTTGACAGGAATATTTCAAATTGTGAATAATGCGTTTCTTTCACAGTTCTTGACAATGGGAGAGTGTGTGTGTGGGGGGGGGGTACTATTGTGACTGCTAGTTGATGCTTACAAAACATATTTTCATTAAGAGCTTAAATTATAATTTGATTTCTTCTCAGAGTAATACTCAGAATGTCAGAAAGGTTGTAGGTGCCTCTTTTGATCAAAGTACATGCATATATATAAATATAGGTGATAGAGCCAGTTGGTGATCCGTGAAAGTCAACTATTAAGGCTTGGATTGCCTAGCAATGAAGCCCAAATATTCTTATGAAAGTGCTATGAACCCTATTATTATTTGCATGAGGTGGATTTGTATAGATTAAAGGCTGTGTGTGCATTTACCAGTGACGGTTGAGTGAGAAACTGTATGTATGTATGTTGTAAGGCAGCTTTCGTATTCTGTTGATATTGTGGAAAAATGCAGCAGTTTGACAGCAGTGCTTGGCATATAGTTGAAACTCCATTGTATATAGGATATAGATGTGTTGAAGTAGTCTTTTCTTGCACAAGTAATATACAGTGTAGCTCTCTTAAATTCACCCATTTACATTACAGAAGTGCTCAGCATGTGAGCACAATAAAAGGTAGTGTATTGAAAGGAAAGGTAACGTAAGGTGTGTTGAACCATGTGATTACACGGCAAATACAGTATTTTCTTCTTTATGTTATAGATCCACATCTGTGCTGAAACAAGAAGAGTGACTTTTCCAAACTTGCCCAAGAGTTATGTATAAAAAACATTGAAGAAGCAACTGCAATCCTGGGTCTAAGCTGATTTTTAAAACATTTTACAACTCTGTTTGTGTATAAAACAATTTGTTGTAATTGATGGCTTGTTAGGGGTGGGTGGGTTTGTGTGGGAGGGCTGGGGTGGGTGGGGTAACACTGACTTCAGGGTGTGACAGGAGTTTTATTTTTTTTCTCTCACAGGAGAGAAGCAGCAATAAGTTATCCTTTTTTTCTTGAAAATCATTGCATGGCTTTGCAATCAAGATTGTTATTGTCGTTAGAATCACAATGTCTTGTCGGCTGACGTGTTATGGCATATGATATATATATATATATATTTTTATTACTACAGTGTCGTGTCCACTATACCCGTTCCATGGCATCTTAGGCTGAATTTTTATTTATTACTCATGACAACCATGCACAGTAACTGGTAAACATTTTACAGTATACATCCCGTGTTATTTATTTATTTATTTATTAGTTGGACTTTGTTGTATTTATTATTGCTCTTTCAGACGTGGATGATTTCTTTTCTTCAAATGTATGGTTTACAACTTTTGAAGCACATGTAGTATGATTTCATGATTGTTTTTGTACCATTGGACATAACTGCTTTTGAAGCATCTTTTATCCCCATTTTTTCTTGATAATATGAACTACTTTTATACTTTTAAAAAAAAGCAGGATTTGATTGTGAGAAATGATGGCATCCTCCGATTAAACACCAGTTTCATTCACAAAGGGAGAAACCACAGCATAGCAAAGACAGAGGTTATCAACAACAACAAGAACACAGTAATGACTTTATGAAACAAACCAGGGAAATTACTTTGAAAGAACATCATTATCATTCACACGATAGCCTCTAAGAATTTTACATTTACAACCGCTTGCGCCTGTTCTCCGCTACATGATAATTTGCATACGGTGCAATAAATGTCCAGTTGCTGTTATAACTATCGTTCTCCTCCTCCTCTGTATCTGCTTCCTCCCAAGCCACCAACCATACTTAATTACTTCTTGTTTTCATGGAAGATTACTAATCAGACTGAATCGTGTCCTGAATCGTTAATGCAAAGTATATACTGCACTTTGTTTGTTTTCAATGACAGACATCAATAAGGCTACCTCAATTTGTATTTCATTTTTGAAATAAGTCTAGACAATTTTTGGTAATTTTTTAATCACGTGTTGCATGTGTGCCCCACCAGGTTGGCTAGAGGTAACAAAGCAAAGCAAAACAACTGAGCAGTTTACGTGTTTTTACGGGAATTAGAGCAGAGGATAATGGGTAACTGACTGTGCCCATTCAAGATGGCTGCTGTCTGTGCAATCCTTTGGTTCCCTTTACTGATAGATAACTAATACCATTGCTAATGGAATGTTTTTATTTTTTAACTTTGTCCTATTATGGAGAGTTCAACATATACAGTTCTTTGCCAAACTGTTTTTTTTTTCTCCTCTAAATATCAGACATCATTTTAAGGGTACAACAAGTTAAAATAGGGGGAAACCAGGGAATATTTGCATAGATAGTGTAGCTCTTACAAAATGAATTTTGATTTTGGTACTATGAGAAAGTTTTATGCAAAGTTGGTGGCTTTTTTCTCACAGTTAGATGTATAGTTAGAGTATAATGTATATTACTAATATATATGTAGATCTTGTAGAACCATACCTTCTAAAACTTATCTCTATAATATTTAGATAGGATTTTTCATAGAGTTAAAACAAATATAAGGCGTGTACAAATATTTATTGGCCTTACTATATCTCTCTCTCTCTCTCTCTCTCTCTCTCTCTTCCTTTCCTGTATTGTTTTTGAAAATGAATTGTAAGGTCGGAATTGCATTATTCCAACCCCCATGTACATAATACATACATGAACTTGTACATACATACAGTATAAATATTAAAAAATTTCAACTTCTTTACATACTCTTTACACTACTTTTTTCAACAAATTAACCCAACACTTGGTGTAACTACTTCTAGATAAAGTTTAGTCACAAACCTTTTTTTTTGTTTTCATTAAATTGAGCCATTGCTCGGAGTCTCAATTTCAGGTTGGTTTGATGGAGTTTTTTTGCAGCTCCAGTGGTGTTATAACAGGCATTTCATTTCTTGAGACTTTAAAATTCTAGAATGTATAGTGTATTGAGCGGTTTCAGTGCAAAATTGCTGGAAAAATTGAGACTAGTTTTGTTACTATGGTAATCCTTACAAATAATATCAAATTTGGAAAATCATCAACCCTGTCGCCAAATTATAATTTTAAAATCTGTCTGTTTTGTAACTAAGGGCAGAACAGTTTTCTTTCAGTCTGTTAAGACTTTGATAATGCAATCGCCAATATTTATATATTTCATTCTTTTGAGAAAAAAAAAATTTAACATGTATTTATTTTTTAAACAAAAATTGTAACTGTGCAATATTCATGTGAAAAAAATCAGTATTATACACGCCTGATATGCAAATTTTGTTGGTCCTTGGGTTTTTTTTTTTGTGAACATTATTTTGGGTATGCGAATAAAGCAGTGCATGTGTTACCATAGTAACAAAGATGAGTACTTGTTTTTCTAGTTACTAAGCAGTGACACCTTACTATTGGCATCTTTATGCATGTACCTCTAATCTTTTCAAGTTAAATGACTCTTTGCAGTGGTTTTCTTGTTACCTGACAACCGTTTCAAATTAACAATGGTGGCATTTGTTTTCAGTTTATATTGATTTCACATGGGGACATTGAGTGGAATTTCCCGTAGTCTTCCCCCAAGCTGATTACAGGATACTTCAAAATCTCTTGACCCTAATAAAATTTTATAATGTTTTTTTTTTTAAAGAATACATACTTGTCTGTCGTTTATTTTGTTCTTGCACTAGTGCTGGAACATTGCACAGTGATGAATGGTAATATTTCTCACTAAATACACTTCTGTGAGATTTATTGAAGTTGGGTATGATTGTGCTGGAACAGTCAATATAATTTGTTTTTGGCTTCCATGAAATTTGATCAACTGGAGGTGATTCGAACAGGATTAGTCTAGACATGTAAAAGATATGCCTCTGCAACATTAAGAAAATGGCTGCCAGCTATCCATTTTGAATTGAATCTTTAACGCAAAATGATGTGAAAGTCTGTGTACATACATTGTACTAAGTTTTAATAAAATTCACCTCTGGTTCTTTAATGTTGAATCGTTAGCACCAAAATGGCCGCTATTTGGCCATCTTCAATAGAATGACAAAATTAATGCTTGTGCACAAGTATTCCAAGATATATTTGTGAAGTTTTCATGTGATTAGCCAAGACATGTCAGAGATATGGCTCTGGAACAGCATTCAATCAAACAAAATGGCCACCAGTCAAACTTTTTGAACCAGATTGGCAAAATAAAGCGACATGCATCATGTTTAATGTGCATGACCAAAATCTAGTTCAGGATTGACACTGGCAGAAATGGCCATTTGGTCATCTTGTATTAGATAACAGGATTGCATTTTGTATATGTGAAGTTTGAATGTAATCAGTCAAGGCATGTCGAGAAATTGTTCCAAATCCCATTTTAAAATAGCCATTTTGAATCCAATCTGCAACAAGGTCCAATGTTTGTACTAAGTTTTAATGCAAATTACCCACACATGACAGATCTGGTTTCAGAAATGCCCAAATGTTTATTTTTAGCACTAAAATGGCTGCCATTTGGACAACTTGAATTGGATCACAAAAACAAATTTATGTGCATATATATATATATATATTCTATACAGGTGGATAACGCACAATAACAAAATCTTGATTGCGCCCTCTATGGTCAGTTTGCCATTTCCTATAATATTGTGCAGGAACTGAGAGAAGTAATCAGAACATTTTAATTTCGTTAAAATAGTCACTTTTCTATAACAAATTGATTACATCAATATTTTGACCACAAAACTCTTAAAAAGTTGTGTTAGAAGATAATCACTGTCAATATTTGCAGAGTTGACTTGTTTTTGAGTTCGAAATGGCCACCAATTTTAAACAAATCGTACAATAAGGCTGCCGGTTGACCAAGTTTGGAAAAATAGTCTATGAACCTCAGAGAATCTAACAGAAGAAATAGAATGCATTAGCCTCTGGACTGTGTTCAGCTGGGTACTAAAGAGTCTTGTATCTCAGATTTTTGTTAGGTAACACAAGAACAAATTACCAAGATAATTATAAAAGATGCTATTACTAAATACTGGTTTGGATATTCATAAATTTTATTAGAGTTTGATTAAACAATTACAATATTGTACATCTCTATCTCTACAGAACAAAAATTGGCAGTGATGTATAATTTAAAGGAAATGTGCGAGACATTCTTTCATGATACCACCTCACTTAGAAGATGCATTTTCTTTAAAAACTCCCTAGCTCACTAAATAAAATACAACATTAAATGTATCAAGACACTAAAGCAGCATGCTCTGAACAAAAATAAGACAAATTTCTTAAAATACATAAAACTTAAAGAGTCCACTCCTAAGGTAAAGTTGGTTCTTGATGAGCAGCTTCTACCAGATCCCACAGGTAATTGGTGATAAAAAATTGTGAATTCTGCTGTTTGTTCAAAGAGAACGGTCGTACATCATGCTTGGTGCTAACAACTGAAAAAATTATGTGAAGGAAAATTGCCATGCAAGCGATTTTGTAGATGACGAGCGTCAACATTAAACCAATAGACGATTGTCTGTTTATTGCAATGCACAAAATGTGTTGATTGAATGTCTCTTTTTTTTTTTTAATAAAATGTTGAAATACCAATCTTTTCAGAGAGAAACATGGTATTGAGATACCCTTACTTCATCAAAATTGACCATCATCAAATGTATATAGCACATTATTAAGCATAAAAAAAACATGTGTTTGTGAAATCCATGCTATGTTTTGATGCCACTATGAAGCTGTGACTTGTTATTGCCCTTCTTTAAATTTGAATTCACAGACAAGCTCTCAAGGACATAAAATGGTCTATTGTGTGTCATCGACATGATTTGAAAAACACATGCATTGTCTCACCCAGACTTTTTTTACAGCTAATTAAACACATGATGCAACAAATCATCAGCTTTTTTTTTTCAAAACTATCAATTGAAAAAAAGACAATAGGATTTTTTTGGAACCATTCAAATACTTACTGGCTTACTGAGGCATGACTTAGCGAGGCATCACTGAACAGCAGTGTATTTATTATGGCCTCCACAATGGTGAAACCTCAATGTACTCAATCCAGCCAAGGTTTACGTCTTGTCCGAGGCAAAATTGTAAAAAGATGCCTTGATGTTTGTTTTTTTGTATTACGAATATTTAATACCACAACAAGATATATGTTTAAATTAACATTTATAGAATAATGCTTTTGAATACATGCATTAAAGGTTGATTTGAATCCACAAAACATCCTTTGAAACAAAAAAGACACATTTCTCAATTCTACCAGATGTGGCGCACTTCACCAGTACTGATGCATGCAATGAGAAGCAAAACCTAATTTTTTGGGAGTCAAAAACAATATTTTTTTTTTTCATAAAGTTCAATACTGTTCATATGCTCCTTTGTGTTTTTTACAGATTGTCAAATTTGCCTTATATGATTAACAAATGTTTCATTTGATTAAAATAAAATACTTTTTGTAGGACAAGAACTTATTTAGTGTTAAACGCCCTCACACCAAAATAAAGCAATCCAGATGTTGTTTTTTATCCTACATTGAAATTTTGTAAGAAACCACATCAGCTTATCAGTTAGTTGAGGTATGCGCTACAGTGAGCAATCTGCTTTGTATGTTGCATTGTAATCGGCACACTCTGCGTTTGGCCACAGTAAAGGTATGAACGTGCTCTGGTTCGAGCAAGAGTGCATGTATGTTAGGCCAAAAAAAAATATGTTTTGTTGCCCTCAGCGACAGACCGAAAAATATGAAATATCGGGTTGCGTTTTTTTTTTCCCATATACCTCGGCTATTTACGATACCCTTAGTTTTCACGAGTTTAAAAAAAAAAATTAAAAAAATTCCGACTGTCCGACTCAATTTTTCAATTATCCAACTTGAGGGCAACATAAGTTGTGTTTTTTGGCCTTACACTTCACCATGCACACTGCCTTAGTGCAGGAGATAGAGCAGCTTTTCTTTGACTACAACAATGTATTACATGTAATACAACCAAATATGCACATGGAAAAGAGGTATGACCAAAAAAGGATACATCCGTTAACTGTATTTGAATCGCAATCGTAGTCCCACTGGATATTTAACATATTCTGGTACAAGTCCACCTTTAATCTGTGGAGACACAAATAGACATCTTACTCCATTACCTGCCGTGACACTGCAAGTGTAACTTCCACCATTGAGGGCGCTATTTCATCAATGTCATCACAATAACGATACAATGTGCATTTGAAACGAAAACGCAATAACGTGTTTTTTAGAGATAGATAGATAGAAACAAGTGTCCAGTTTCCTTGCTGCTACAATACTGAGAGCAACAGCGACTAGAAAGAAGTCAATTTTGTAGGATATATACGAGGCAGAATGTGATATGTAAAGAAAACCTGTCAATAAACAAGCTTCTCTTTGGTGTGACTACCGGTAATACTCTTGTAAGTAACTTTGTATTGACTTTGTTTTTATTGATAAAGTTTGTGAGACCATTGGACTCAGTTTTGAATACATATCTTCATATTTTATCTTCTACAGATATCTTACAATGTACAAGACGTTATTTATTATGGTATGAATGTAAAAGAGATTTTTCATAATCCTTCAAAGGCAACCTAAATACCGGCAAACACAAAATTAACATGTCCAGCAAAAACATAGTATTGTGGAATATCTGCGTAAATAATTTCAGATGGCTGGATTGCTTAAAAGATCAACAATGAAAAAATGTGCGTATATTTTGTGACAATTTCTGTTTCTTCATTGTAAAAGTGTCAAGGAAATCAACAAGGCAACTAATTTAACAATTTTGTTTTCCCAAAAGAGACATGATATTCTTCCTAATATGGCACATAGTTAACTAAAATTGTCATTTGCGAAATATTTCAAGGAATGTGCAAAATGTATAATAATGCATCCTTTCATGAAGAGCACATGTCAACTCAATAATAGTTTGACATCACAAAACACATCGTCCGCCTGCACGGTGTTGCTCCGTTCGAACATTCCTCCCTCCACAACACCGTGCGGTAATTCTATTCATAACCGTGTATGTCACGTGGTTGCGCGATAGAAAGTTTACCGACCAATAGAAAGCTTTGTTATGACTACCAAAAAGCGCTTGGGGCTTTGCATTTGTGATGTCTTCATCTTTGGCTTCATTTCTGTCAATATATGTTGCAGTGACACCATGAGCTTTGAGGTTTAACACCTACTCTTCTATAATACTCAACAGTGGCGACAACACTATTACCACGCTTGATGGTCGCAAGGCTGGTAAAGCATAATAACATAATGATTTACCATTTCCAGTGTGACTAAAAACGAACACATCAGACTCGGAACTAAGTACCCTGAACGGCTTTTGTCCGAATATTGTATTGCCTCGACATCCAAGCCAACACAGGTTCCACTGTGCGAGCATTTT